CCAGCATGTACAGCAAAAACGACGGTACGCAAGCACCGAAAAATTTGCATACCCTGGGGCCCATGGTAGTGGTGTTAAAGGCACACACGAGCTCAAAAATGATGAGTTGTGCGGGTCAAACACAAATTGCAATATCTATGTACACAAAAAAGAAGTAAGGAGAAATAGGTGATACCATCTAATGATGACTCGTCCGACCACGCCCATTCTTCGCCTTATGCACGTACGGCTCAGCACGGAGTTCTTTTCCTACTTTATTTCTTTTTTGTGTACATAGCATATTGCAATTAGTGTTTGACCCGCACAACTCATCATTTTTGAGCTCGGTGTGTGCCTTTAACACCACTACCATGGGCCCCAGGGTATGCAAATTTTTCGGTGCTTGCGTACCGTCGTTTTTGCTGTACATGCTGGTGCGTGTAAGGAGGAGAGGGGCTGGGGTTGTCGCGCTGTGAGCCCGTTTCCAACGATTGTCGCTTGAGCGCTCCAATAATTAGTGGCGAACGGCAAACCTAGCCCCCCTGCACGATCCAGGGTCTGCAGCGAAAACGAATGTAGTTTGGAGGGACACGCGGAGGTGCGGCCAGGTCTTCTCCTTAAGACTAAGCCACCTGACTCTGGTCGTCTGCGCTTTGGTAAGACTCATCCTTAGGATACATAGCGACGGAGAAAACAAGTTTTGCATTTCTCATAAAAATGGTGTTCTGTACCCGTACTGATTCAGGTAAACAAAACTGATAATTAATCATTATTTTTTTAGCATCGAGAGCGGAACCGCGATGCACCGAGAAAGAAGAAAAAGTGCTCAATTCTGTGAGTATGAGTACTACATTACTGATACGTGTGCTCCGTAATGTGCGCCTTCTGTCTGGAGCGTTCCGCGCCTCTTCATATCACATTTCGCTCTCCTCTTTATAGTCAATTTTGTTCGGGAATTTTTCCTTCTTCTCGAGATTTCCTTTTTTTTGTTTCGGTCACATTGGTGACAACAACGCCTGGCTATTACGTAATATTATATGTAAAGCTCAATAATTTCGCAGCGTTTTCTTCATTTTGTTGTCGTCGTTCATCGTTCAACGTGCCTGTCACTAGATAACGCCATGGTGGTTCTATTTGATGTTACAGTTTTACCATCTGTATACATCACATGTTCCCAAATTATTCCTCGGTTCTGTACTTCCTGGTAATTTGCTGGTACTTTTGTTTCTATCTGTCAGTGTGTTTCTCTCGAAATCGGGCCCGATCCCAATACATATAGTCATCCGTCCACTGCGCCGTTGCTGCCCTCTTCTCCCTCTCAACGCGACTTTAACCGCTGGTCTGAAACGGGTCTGAAACTGAAATTGCTTTTACTCGATGACGGCGACTTAGATCGCATTTCGGACCCGTTGTCTACTACTTTACATACCAGTACTTCTTTTTTTCCTTCAGATCTATACATTATGAATTTTTTCATGTTCGAAAATGAATCTTTGTCGCTCAGATGTTTATTTTTTTACGAATTTTTTTGTTTAGTGTTACAAATTGTACATTTCCTCCGCTTCGAGTTCTTAAGATTTGTACGGTTTGTCGCTCTATTTTTTCAATGATGCTGTCGACGTCGTTGTTCAGTTTCCTCAATTCAATATTTTCTAATGATACTGTGTGGATCACAACGACTTAAGTGATTGTTTTGAAAAGTTTTATGACCCCCTCCCCCTCCCATTTTTCCAATTTTCATATGTGAAGCTGAAATTCCTACTACTGTTCCACACTCGTCACCACTCTTACACGTCAAAATCTTTACATGAATCTGCGTTTTAGTGATTTATCATTCGATTGCCTGTTCCGAAAAACGATTGTAGAGTCCGATCAATCTTATAATGGGCAAGTTTGAAAATTCTTTCCTCTTTTTGTAGACGATTGATTGTATGTGAGATCGTTTAGATTCCGGTAAAATATTCTAAAATTAAATTGTTTGCTTATGATGTGAAGGTGTTTCAGGCGGATTTACCGTAATATTTTTCTTTGCGGTTATGCTTGCTCGCTTGTTATCTGTTGCAAAGCACGTATACAGTCAGTCGTTTCGGGTATGTGACAAGGCAATCGTAATATGCGTGGCTGGTAGGCGTGACTGCGACGCCGCGCTCGACGGACGCGTTGTCCGTCATTGAATTTAAGTAGTAAAAAGAACAGAGAAGTCCCATCTCTTCCGTGTCTTGTCTTGTCTTGAGTTTAGCTTCGCTGCTAAAACCGAAAAAAAACCATAAACATCAATAATTTGCCGCACATCGCCGCCCAATACGCCGCGCGCGACGACGCAGCAAGTAACCGGAGGGAGATTGCACAAGGGGGGGGGACATAACTTTTGACTGAATAGAGCAACAAATCAACCTTGACACACTCTCAGTCCTCCTCCAACTGCGAGGATTGGGAGACGTTAGGGCGTATATAGGGTGAAGGG